TCTTGTAACATCTCTCATCTTCGGCACTTATATGACCTTATTGTGTTTGTTACTCTCTTGTAACATCTCTCATCTTCGGCACTTATATGACCTTATTGTGTTTGTTACTCTCTTGTAACATCTCTCATCTTCGGCACTTATATGACCTTATTGTGTTGCAAGTGCTGTGAAACTGTCACTAAAAGTAAACTGTGGCCTTTGTGTAACCTTCATAGGCTGCAAGTGTTGTAAAACATTGACTAAAACTAGAACATCACTCCAGCCCTCCCAACAGTCACTCTCTTGTAGCGTCTATGATCTGCCATAACACTTGTACCATTTCATTTTGTGGCAGTTTCCGTAAAAGTGAAACGAAAACTAAACCCCCCTCCCCCCTGAGTGGGTGGTTGGCGGGGGCTCTGGTGTGGTTTGCTCTTCTTTGCTCTCAAACATCTATCGTCCTGATCTCTCCTCCTTCTTTTTTTATGTTTGTTACTCTCTTGTAACACCTCTGAACTTCGGCATCTATATGACCTTATTGTGTTGCAATTTCCTTAAAACTGTAAGTTAGACTAAACCATCACCCTAACCCCTCCAACACTTCGCGACCTGAGTGCTTTCTTGTCGTATCTCCATTTTTTAAAACAGTGAAAATGTGACTTCTTGTGAAGCTAATTCGTTGATCTGAACTGTTTTCGCTGTCTGTTGGTGCGGTGACAGTTCCCGAGCCAGCTGGTCCTGAGCCCGGCCCAACAACTGCTCCATGAGCAACTGGTGCACAAGTCGGAGCAGCTCCAGAACGCCATCCAGCGCCAGCAGGAGGAGCTCCGCCTCATCAAGGAACAGCTGGCCTTCGCACAGGGCACGGGACACATGCTGCAGCAACAGCAGCAACAACAGCAGCTCTCTCAGCAGGAGCAGCAGTTGCAGCAGCAGCAACAGCAGCAGCAGACGCAGTTGCAGCAACAACAACAGCAGCAGCAGCATCAGTTCCTGCTACAGCAACGACTAGGTGAGTTTACAGTTGACCCACCGCCGAGCATTTCAATAAAAACCCAGGGTTCTTTGATTCTTTTTGGCACGATGAAAAAAAACATACTCAGTTTGTCATAAAATCAACAATCATGGTTCTTTGGCCAGATGCTCTTGAAAAAGATGTATTATCCTTGTCATTCCCTTGTGATCTAATGTTATAACAAACTCATACGTCTCTCTGTATCTGTCTCCCCCCCCCCTCCTAAATGATCTAACACAACCGCTGCCTCAGCCAAGTCTAGTGGCAGGTCACACAGCTCCAGTATAGCTCCGACCATGGTGAGTGTGTGTGTGTCTGTGTGTGGGTGTGTGTGTATGGGGGTCGTCAATTTTTTGCATGTGGAGTTATTGGTATCATCTTAAAGTTTGTTCATTTTTCTTGCTTTTGACGGAAAAAATACCCATTTATTTTTAGCTGAAGTGAAGATATTTGTGAGAGAAAATAGTCGCCAAAGTTTGGTTACTTCAATAGCTAAAGAGTCCTTGAAAACTAAAAAATTACATATTTTGAGCTTTTAATCAACGTTTTTCAATATAATTCTCATGGAAATGGGGTTTTTTTTTTCGACATTAAAATGTTGAACAAAAACCCAAAAATTGATTAAAATTGTGAAACTGGCGGGGAGATGCCTGTTTCTCCAATTTTGTTATTTTGACGGGCGCCTGATTTCACCACGCTGCTTCACCTATACGTGTTCCAAGTGTGATGGTAAAACACCCCACCCCCGTCTGTCTGCCCTCTGTCCCCCTCCAGGTGACCAGCAGTTCTCAGGCCAGCCTAGTGAGCCACAGCGGCCCGCCCTCGGCCAACAGTCAGTCCCATGCCGCCCCGAATCTTGTGCCAGTCATGGCTGCCGCCACGCCCACTAGCCTGGTCACCATGGCCTCCAGTCAGAGGGTAGGTCAAGGTTACTGCTCATCTGTCATTTTCGTTGTGTCCAGGACTACTGCTGAGGTGTAATTGTTCCAAGAGTTTTACAGCACTTGCGACACAGTTAGGTTATCGTAAAAGTGCTGAAGACGAGATGTTTTATTAGAGTGTAGCATACAAAGAAAAGAAAGAGAGATAAGGACAACAGATGTTTGATGTGGAGGAAGAAGGAGGGATTTAAGGAAGACAAATGTTGGATAGGACAGAAGGAGAGATAAGGATAACAGATGTTTGATGAGGAGGAAGAAGGAGGGATTTAAGGAAGACAGATGTTGGATAGGACAGAAGGAGAGATAAGGATAACAGATGTTTGATGAGGAGGAAGAAGGAGGGATTTAAGGAAGACAGATGTTGGATAGGACAGAAGGAGAGATAAGGATAACAGATGTTTGATG